CCCCAGTGGCAGCGCGAGGGTCTGCCCGCCGCACGCGTGACGACCGTGCTGGACGAGCTGCTGCACAGCGACGACATCGACGCGGTCTACATCGCCACACCGCACTCCCACCACGGCGATTACGTGCGCGCGGCACTCGAGGCGGGCAAGCCGGTGCTCTGCGAAAAGCCGCTCGTCACGACCCGTGCCGAGGGCGAGGCGCTCGTGGCGCTGGCGCGCTCGCGTGGCGTGTTCCTGATGGAGGCCCTCTGGACGCGCTTCCTGCCGGCCTACGACCTGGCGGCGCGGCTGCTGCAGGAGGGCGCCATCGGCGAGCTGCGGGCGATGCAGTCGAGCTTCTGCTTCGCGGCCGTCTACGACCCGCAGCACCGCCAGTGGAACCCGGCCCTGGCCGGCGGCGCGCTGTGGGACATCGGCATCTACAACCTCGCCGTCACGCGCTGGGTGCTGCAGCAGATGAACGGTGGCGTGTGCCCCGAGCCCGAGCACCTGGACGTGCAGGCCCGGCTCGCGCCGACCGGTGTGGACGCCGCGGTCAACGTGACACTGCACTTCCCTGGCGGCGTGACGTCGCAGTTCCGCTGCGGCTTCGATGCGGCCTCGGTCAATGCGTTCGAGGCGCTGGGCTCGAAGGCGGCGCTGCGCTTCCCGACCGACTTCTGGCAGTCCGAAGCCGTGGAGGTGGTCACCCGCAAGGCGCCGCCCGAGCGGGTATCGGCGCCCTTCGTGATCAACGGCTTCGAGGGTGAGATCGCCGAGGCGCAGGCGTGCATCCGCGCGGGCTGGGTGGAGAGCCCCCGCATGCCGCACGCCGAGACGCTGGCGCTGCTCGGCTGGATGGATGCGATCCGGGCGAGGTTCTAGCCGGTACGTTCAGCGCACGTAGCGCTTCTCGATGCGCGCGATGCTGCCGTCACGCTGCATGGCCGCGAGCCCGGCGTCCATCGCCGCGAGGGCTGCGGGCGCGCGGGCGCTGGCCTTGGCGAAGCCCATGAAGGTCGGCTCCGGGTTGAAGTGCTGCAGCGGCTGGCGATCCAGGCGGTCGGCCAGGCCGAGCTGGCGGATCTCCCACAGCCCGACCAGCGCGGTCACGATGACCACATCCGCGCGCTGGTGCTCCACGAGCTGAACGGCTGCGCCCACGTCGCGGGCTTGCTCGACACGGCCCTCGACCTGGTCGAGCACCGCCTGCGGATAGATGTAGCCCGAGCCCACGGCGAGCCGCAGGCCGCGCAGGTCCTGCAGCTTTTCCAGCTTCAGGCCCGAGCCGCGTCGCGTGTAGAAGTGGTACTGCTTGCCCGCCCGGTAGCTGACGCTCCAGCGCAGGAAGCGGTCGCGCTCGGTGCTGTAGTTCACCGTCGTCGTGAAGTCCGCCAGGCCCCGCTCCAGCATGAAGAGCACGCGCTTCCAGGGCACCCACTGCACGTCGATCTCGCCGTGCCAGCCGCCGCGCTTCAGCGCTTCGCGGGCGATGTCGATGTCCACGCCTTCGCCGCTGGCATGTCCAGCCGGGTTCACGAGCGGCGGGTAGACGGTGTTGGCCAGCACGAGCGGGCCGCTGGCGGCC